ATTTCACTGTAGGCAAAAAATAATGTAATCCCTAAAGTAATGAAATAGTAAATAATTCATTTAAGACTCAATTAATTATCTTATGTGATAAGCAAACAGTAAGTGTGTAACATTACTGACTAATATGAATTTACATTTTCTAAGTGCTTATTTTAATTCAATTTCAGCACTAATACATGTAAGTGTTACTTTGTTTTCCAGGTTACACTCTCACTGGGAATCTGAAGACCGGGATGTTTACTCAGGATCTGGACAAGATAGATTAAATTCCTCCCAACCCCATCCCAATTCTCAAATTAATGTTGAATTAAGTAAGAAATTATAAACAAGCTCAGCATTAGCCTTGCTTCCCTAATCACTCCACCACCCAAAGTGGTTAGATTTGAATAAGTCACGATTTTTCCTTTGGTCTCTATAATAATGGTGCTTGCACATATATTCCCCACCAAAACATGCCCAATCTCTCTCTTCAGTCTACTCCTCAACTGTAGCCCATGTTCCAAGTCTCTGCTCTTGCACTGTCTCCTGTAACACTGACTTGCTGCCATACAGAAGTTCCCATGTTATCTGCCATCCCTCCTCTGGATTTTCAAGAACCCAGGTCTTATTTGCTGGAGAACAGAATCTTAGATACCAGCTGCCTAACTGGTTCAACATGCCCCTCTTTCCAGATTCCCCAAGTAATGTTTTGACCACTTAGAATTGTATCTGGGCCTCTGAGATAAAGGCTCAACACAACAGTGGATCTGACTGAACATTGCTGGCTGTAAGCCTGGCCCCAGCCCCAGTCCCTCTTAGACGATGATTCTAGTATCAGGTCATCATCCTTCCTTTTGTCATGAATTGAGGAATAAATAAATGTCCTTCTCTGGCCCCATACATTTTAATTGGCTTCCATATGATGATTACTTGGCATTTTGATATCTTTGGTTCAGTGGCTGATCGCATCTCTCCCTCTCCTTCTCCTTCTCCCGCCCCTAGCAATGCAGAGCAATTACAGAAACCATTAGTAAGGCTCCTGCACTCAGCAGTTTCTCAGGGTGTTCTGGAGTTTCTGAGAAAAATAAAACCAAGCTTTTAAAAAATGGTCACATTTCATGTTCTTCTTAATTTCTCTTTTCCTATGTCCTGAGATGTAGTTAATCAATTCCTCCTTAACTTCTGAAAATACTCTTAAACTCTACTAGACCTCTACTCTCAGGGGTTGCAGGGTGAAGGCCACCGTCTACCCTAGTAGGATCTTTAAACTCAAGAATCTGGTAAGAAACAACGCAGCTAATCCTCACTGTTTTCATATTTTGCTCCAACAAAACACAGGGTAAATATTCAAATTGATTCCCACAAACAGCCCTGAATATTCCCTAGTTTCTTTACGATAGTTACAATGAGGATTTATGAACTGTATCATTGGTCTTTATTTTTATTTAAATTAATGGCATTGTATTCTCTTACAATTGGAAGGTAGAGGTGGGTATACATCAACAACAAAAAAAGACCAACATTTTAAAATCTTGTAGGAACTAGATCATTTTCAGTGATTATTTTTTAATGTTATAGAATATTTTGGCAGTTTCTTAGGCAGCTGGTATTTTTCACTGAATATATGTATACATATATGTATATATATATATTTACTAATATCAAAAGCTAGTAAAGCTTTGTATGTAAAAGTCATAAGAGTAATAGTAATAATAGTGAGAGCAATAATAATTTATATGACCCTTACTGGCTGTCAAGTACTCTACTAAGCACTTTTTGAACTTAACTCTTAAAATTCTCCAAAGAACACTACACAGTAAGTGGGACTGTTCCTTATTCTTAGTTAAAAATCGACAACTGAGTGGAAGAAAGGTTATACAACTTGACCAGATAGTGACAGAGAGAAATTTAAACCTAACCCATCTTTTGAACCTCTGAAGAAGTATACAACTCACTACACTGCATTCATGTGTGATACCTTTGCCCTCTTGATGAATACTGAAGCGGAGTTAGAGCGCCTTCCAGTTGTTTTGTGACACAGCACTGACATGAAATGTGGCCTCTGTGCTCTATTTGGGGCACATGACTTTATTACTCTGGACATTATTTGAACAAAGAACTTGCTGATAATTTGAGCAGTTATAACTTCAAAATCTTTCTGTACTATTACATAGACAGATCACTATTAACCTTGACATTCAATTTTTAAAATTTCAGCTTCATGATTACATGAATAATTTTCTCTCAGAGTTATGACAGCATTCATATGCTCTTCTCTTTTTGTTCGGTACTTTGGCACCTTTGAAAATGTGATAAGATAGCTTGTAGTATGATTAACAGATTAGTACACATCTCATTTCTCTACTCGTCTTTCTACTTTTCCTGAAGACATTACATTCTTTGCACTTTCTCCTTTCTCTCTCTTTCAACTTGCCCTTACTTTCTTCCAATGAACCTTATTTTTGTTTTGCCTTTGAATCTCCTTCCCTCTCTAACATCATGTGAGTTACGTAAAAGCTGTTTAAGCTTGGATCTTCTGATGACTTGTAACCATGGAAATTCTGATTCTTTCATACTGCCATTTACTGTATTTGGATTATGGAGACACACTGGAGTTTACTTTGTAAAATAGCCTTGTCAGTCCTGGCAGAAAACAGATGATTCAATTATAGCTTTGCCACATGTCTGTAAAGAAAAGTCATCCTACATTAAATATGCGTTCCTACGCAATAACAATTCTAACGGTATTGCAGAAAGCATAGCGATCACTGCTTCTAACATCCTTACTTAGTTTATTACTCTGCGATACGTTTCAGAGAGCAATGAACTAACCTTGCCCTAGGGTCAGGGCTCCAACCTATTCTCTGCAACATGTCTAGATATAAAACATGTTTACCCTTGTATGACTAATGAACCTGGTCAAGTTGCTAAATACTTGCTTGTTCTATATGTGAACTGATTCCTTTTCCTTGACCTTCAGACTCTATCAGGTCCTACTTCTAAAATTCCTAAGTCTGGTGTTGTTGCTATCCACGCCGACCATGACGACGTTGACATGGTTGAAAAAAGACTCTAGCCATGTTAGTACCCCAAATATCATCTTTTTATCCTTCAAAGGAATTTTTCATAAAGAGTTAAAATAAATTTAAAAACTCATTGAAACTACTCATTAATATACTGTTATAGACTCTAAGCAACCATCTCTCGTATAGGCAACATAATTACAAGTGAATTACAAATGCAGACTTTATGACTCCAATTAAACTCTAGGTCACAATCCATTAAAAAGAGATTACACACATTATATTAGATGCAAGAAAAAAATACGCCACATGATTTGAACTATCAAAACAAACAAGGAGCAACAATTTCAAATAATTTATGTTTGCCTAAAATTTTTATCAACATAACCTAAAATATTTTCTTGAAAATCATCAGACAAAAATATTCTCATATTTAATTTTCACATACCTGTATATTACACTTTATCTTACTTATTTCATTATTTCATTCTACCCCAAGAACATCTTTGAAAGTACTTCCCAAGGGTGAGAGATTGGAATAGATTCTACTTTTTAGTTGTAAGAACACTAGTTTTTTAGTTTTAAGAGCATTATAATTACACTTGAACACATTTAATTTTAGGGCTTTTATTTTGTAAAAATCAAATCAAGTGACTAAAAATTAATTTGAAGCAAAATAAAATTTCATCACTATAGAACTGCTTAGGAGAGCAGATCTTAAGAAAATGTCATCAAGGACTTGCACACCTGTTTCCACATTTGGGAGGCTCATTTGTCACTGGAGTGTTGTCTCTGAAATCTGTGATTGCTTACGGACTGGGTTACTATAAAAAGTAGCTTTTTAAATATTATGTCCATAAAATTTGATTCTACCTAACCCTCGCCCCCATCTATTAGATGTCACTTCTCCAGTGAAGAATGAAGGGGTGGGAGTTCCGTGAGTTTGAATCTAGCGTCTCTGGCACGGGCAAGCACACAACGAACAGGTAAGGAAGCTGAAAGAAAGCAGAACTCCGCTCGAGCAAGAGTAACCTGGGGTACAGAGGAGGACACACGAGAACAAACAAAAAGTGCATTTCAAACAGGAGATTAAAAACCAGTTCAAATGACGTAATTTGAAGGTATTATGGGAAAGAAAAATGAGATCATTTTGCACAGGTGTTCTAAGAGTTTGAAGAGATTTCGATGTTTTGGGGGAAAGGCAACATTGCTGATAATAACATTTAAAAGAGGGACAAAAGGACATTCCCTTCAGGAGGCTTATAAAACACACACGGGCGACAACACCCCATTTGCGCGGTGCAGCCCCGACGTGGCCCAGAGAAAGGAGAAAGGCAAAGAGGTAAGAAAGCGACTGAAGATACTAAGCGCTGAAAAGGAGTTTAAAAAAAGAAAGAAGGAAAAGAGAGACTTGTGCTTCTAAGGAGATTCTTAAACTGTGTCTGGATTTAAAATACGGAGATAGGTCCTATTGTGGTAGTCATTTTAGAATGAATCTGAAAATAATGTCCTGATCGGAATATTCCATGTTTCTCATCTAATTCATGCGGGGTTTCACAAAGTCACCAATGGCCTGATAGAAGCTTTATAACCAAAATGTTTTCAGTTATTTTACTAATGGCAAGCATCTTATCAAGAAAGAGAGGGGAAGTAACTTACTCTGGGTGACATTTTCTGCCACTTAGTTTGCCTCAGGAGAGGCTTGATGACTAAACACAAAGGAGGAGCTAACCATTTAACAAGAGCAAATGTGTTTCATGGACAGCTAAGGTTGGCTGGACTAAATCATCACCTCTCGTGGGAAATCCTGAAAAAGAAATGCATTTAGAACACTGGTAGAAGAAAATAATTTTCAGAGGGGAGGTAATTCCTTGGTGACAGGAATTTCATGATGGTCATTTGCGTGCCCTTTGGGGTTCTAACTCGCACAGTTTCACCAGAGCACCCCACTCCTACGGTTTGTTTGTGGGAGGGAAGGAAAAGGAGCGCAGGCCTTACCGCCTCCACCTCGGCGGGGTCATACCAGACGTTGATGTACGGGTGCTGCAAGGCGTCGTCCACCGATATCCTTTTGGCTGGGTCAATCACGAGCATCTTCGACAACAAGTCCCTGGCTTGGCTGGCTGAAACGACGAATGAGAAAGAGAATCAGTAAAATTTTGATTTGGGCAAGGAGATGTGTTAGAGGAAGAGGGAACTGAGGAAACAAAGATCAACGAGCGCCTTCATCCCCAGCATCAGGTAACCTCAGCAGGTGATTAGGGAAACGCAAAATAAAACAACGAAGTGTATTTTATCCGTCAGATTTGCGAAAGTAAAAGATGGTGTAATATCCATGAATGCCAGGTAATTTTGTTATGCTGGTGGGAATGTAAATTGATTCAGATTTTTTAGAGAGTAGATCTGGTAATATCTATTAAAGTTTAAATTGTGACTAGCTTATGACTCGGCTGTTCCTCTTTTAGGTCTACAGTCTAGAGAAACAATTGCACATGTTCATGTAACATATACAGAAGGGAAGTTCACTGCAGCATTGGTTGTGGAATAAAAAAGGTTTAAAACAGTCTTAATTTTTATCCATAGAGCAACTAAATGACCTCTGATATAACTGTACCACGGAGTTGTATTTGGCAATTTAAAATAATTCGGCATATCTATATCCTCACACAGTCATGTTGTTCAGTGAAAAAAAAATGCAGAATGATCCATAGAACATGATGCCATTTGTGTAAATCTGCTCCATCTCAACAAAACACAAAATTTCCTCTCTCGCTCTATGTATACAAATGAATAGAAAAAGTCTGTAAAGATCATCAACAAACTGAAAATGCCTTTGAGGAGAGAACGTGTACATGCATTGCTCACATAAATAAAAATAAATTTAAAAGAATAGTATTTTCAGAAGGAAGTAGATGGAGTGGGTGTAGACTGCTCATTTTGAAAGCTGTTCTGAGCTGGGTAAAGGGCTAAGCAGTTAAGGGAGGCCAGAAGGTAAGGGGTGACATTTCTGAGGATGAGAGAGATGAAGATGACTTTAACAGCAGCAGAAGCTTTAAGAGTGGAGAAGAAAGGGCAGGTTTGAGAAAAAGAATTCACAAGACTTAGTAGGCACACTGATGTGGGAGATTTGGTTCCATTTACAAAATGCTAAATGCTTAGCCCATCACCCACGTCGTGGCTCTCAAGTTGTTCCTGGTGGGCTTACCTTTGAGTTTATTGTGCTCAGAATCCGCGGGGAAGAGGGAATCTGGAAAGAGCTTGGGGAAGGTGAGTCCTGCATACTTAGGCCGATTCTCCACATAGTTTCTTACTGTGGGTTGCAATTTCTTCATGAATTCTGGACATGGTGTTCCTAGTTGCTCAATTACTTTGTTCCACTGGTCAATGTCTGAGAATTGAATAGTTAAGGGCAAACGAAAGTACAGGCTACGATCTCTTGTCTTTTACTAGCTGGGAGAATGTTTCTCAGAATCCTGAGCACTCATCCACACAACCGTTGTTTTAATAAGCAACAAAGGACAGACATATAAAATCAGAACTGTAAGGCAGAATTTAAGAATCCTCTTAAAATTTTAAATTCACTTTTGGAACATATACACTATTGGAGAACTAGCATTACTGAGCAGAACAGAATATCATAAGATAACCCTTGGGTTGTAAAGATGAAAATGTATTTAATAACACAAGGAGAATTTCTAATATTAAGATAAACTTCTATATAACCATGCAGTTTAAGAGAGAAAAAATATGACACCTAATATTTTTATCACGAAATTACCTCAATCATTTATTTTCTAAAAATGACAAAGGCACAAATATTTAAATAAGATTAATTTACATTTTTCTTAAATTCCTCTTAAGATTTTTTTCTTTCTCTACCAAATAGGAAAGCCCATCATCTGTTAATGTTTTCTACACCTATGCATTACTTATGGGATCAATATAATTTTTGATAATAAGATAATTCATTAATTCTTCACCAAAGACTTAAAAAATTCTGTATGCATCAAAGTAGTCACAGTCTCATACCTATTTTCTTGGTAATGTCCTATATCCCTGAATATGAAGAAGACAGGACGGTAAGCAGGGAAGATTCCATTTAAAACAACAGATTTCCATCCAAGTGCACGTGTTTCAAAAGCACATTAAGCATGTGGAATTCTACAGGAAAAATATTAACTCTCGATGAATATTAGCTAGCTCTTTGACAGACACACCTACCGAATGGGATTTCCTTTTTCATTAATCAGTAGCATTTATTGTATCCTATTTCCTTTTTAATTTTTCAGTAGCATTTGTTATATCAGAGGCTTGTGAAAGATAAATACCACCAATGAAAACTCTGAAGAATCAAATGGAAGAAACTAATTTCAAAGAAACCCTTGCCATGTGTCAGTGAATGATAAAAGCCTTAGAAATTCTTCTTTAATCCAGTACCACAGGCAGCTTTCTCCATTGCTTTGTTTATTGTTCTACAACTCTGTCCTTCAGTAACAAGTTAATTAATTCATTGCTGCTAATGTAATTTGCAACAGTTCAGGGAACTTACCGTAATATTACTTAACTGAGGTTTGTAAACTCCTCACCCCTAGCTATTCAATACAGTTGGACTAAAAAAGATCAGCAGTCCTGACAAAAGACAAAAGTAACTATATTTAACAAAAATATATATAGAATGCAAACCAAGTAGGTAGGATGTTGCACAGAGATAAAATTAAGCTAATTCGCAAATCCTCTTCTACCTCCTTTATAATCTGGCTGAATCAAAGTTAAATTATTACATATCCTCTTAGTTACTGGGATGAAAAAGATATGTGCTTGTGTAATTCAAGAAATGAAGTGAAAGTGGAAAAAACTGAAGAATAGTCATGAGACTATCATAGTAAGTCAGAATAATTAGAAATAAAAGAACTAAAAAATTGAAAAAGATTAAAGTTAAAAGTTACTCATACATAAAAATGTATATTTGTACTATAGAGTTAAGCTTTAGCTATTTAAATATATTTAAATAGAAAATATTAGTACAGCTAAATAAATCTCAAGGGCTTGCTTTGTAAATTATGAAAAGAGGTCTGCTCTCTAATACTGTTATGTTATCATATCCTATCAAGCCATCATTTAATCATTGGTCAAACTTCCTTAGAATTTTACGGATGGTGTCAAACTAAAAATAGGGCAAAGAAGCTGTCAGGTTTTCTGTAAAGGTGTCATTAAAAAAGTTAGCAAAATACTCCCAACTCACTATTATATTCTAGTTGCATTTAGCTAGAGTTGTAGAGTTATTCAGTAAAAATTAATTGCTTTTAAAGAAGCATTCCCCAAACAATTCCATGTCATTTTTAAAGTTTAAGGAGAGTCAAATATTGTGGAATTTGTTACGAAGAGTCAAAATGTTTCTTTTTATAAGTTATAATTAAAGCCTATAGAAGCACTCAGTGACCTTTCCTACCTTAGATTGCTTTTTAGATAAAACGCAATTGAGCTCCTTGATGTAACAGTTTACAAAAAGTAGGGAGGCATAAATCTTTATTATTGTCAGTGAAATAGTTGAATGTTAATACTTCAAATATTTGGTATAGAAGTCTGTGCCCTTATTTTAACCAATCCATTTCAAGTTCCTTCTTCCTATAAACATGAAATTATATTTAAGTGTTAAGTGCTTCTTTCCCAGAGGCTCACAGGATCACAACATGAACAACTATATCCAACTATACTTCGTTAACCATGATTTTTCTTTATAATAATAATTAACCAAATAGAAGCCAAGACTGGAAGTCCTATCTCCTGACTCTGAGTTCAATGCTTGTTCCAAGGATTCCAGTAAGGAAAAGAGCAAGCTTGAAATTCATCTGGTAGAAATTGCTTTAGTTTGGCCATAAAATTGATGGTATGTTTGTCACAGGCAGTTTCCTTAAAGAATGTCTCTGAAGCTGCCTCCTTCCTTGGTTTATTAGGTCAACATATTCACCTAAAGCAATTAGTTTTATTAATATTTTAAGTAAGAAATAAGGTGATACATGCTTTAAAAATTTTAACCATTAAATTTCCATAATAATTATATTTTTAAAAATACATAAAATATCAACTAGATTTTTATGCTCAAGTATTAAGTTTAACACGGTAAATATTTTTTAAAGACTGGACAAAAATATTTTTGTAAAAGGACTTATTTGTTTTAGGACACTCATAAGTCATTATTTTTGTACTATAAGCATATGGATCTGAAGAGTTACAGATTCTAGCCTATGCAGTTATCAAAAAAGCAATAAATATGTTTTATATTTTTTATTTACTATTTCAGTAAGAAATTATCACCCTTAAAAAAATGATCACCCTTAACTTATTTTATCAAAGGCATTTAATAAAAAAGTTTTATTTTATAGGAATTATTTGACACTAAATTTCCTCATCTAATTCTAAACTCACTACATAAAAATAGTCATATTACAAAAAGTTTGATATTACAGAGCATGATGACAAGACAGTGTGCAAATATTGACTATTAGCTAAAGTCTTCAATGAACAGTATTGCAATAGATGGATAAAACGAAGTAAATGTGGACTGCAAAAGTGAGTTCTCAGAAATCCTAAGACTGAAAAATACTCATTAATTTTATCAGTTAGCAAAAAACTTACATTTCATGTACTCCTTTCACTTTAACTTCCTTGGTTGGAAACTTTCTAAAATATATCACAAACTGCCTTGAGCATAATATATGAAAAATACCTTATTTTTTTCTGGGTATTTTAGGTCATAATTATAAACATAATTTATACAATACACATTTCAGCTTTCAGAAGCTACAAGGTAGATTCCAAGAGTGTTTAATGGCCTCATTCTATTATGGCCTTTGAAAACTATCTTCTTTTTATGTTTTCTTCCACAGTTGATTACTTTTTGTTATTATGAATGTGGTTTCTACAGTTGACACCTCCATAAATTCAGACTTGTTTTTCCTCTATTCAAAGCCTTATATTCAATATTTTGTGCAAAATTTTCTGTCTCCTATTTGCAACTTAAAGAATATCAGTGTTTATCTCCAAATTCTTAACTCTGTTTTTAAAGATTATGTTGCCAAATAGTTTCAGGAGAGGTTATTTTATGTCAAGCCATCCGGCTTCCCAGGCATTGTGCTGAGTATTATTGTGTGGCTTTATGTCAGTCGTGTAGGAAAGAATATTGCAATCAATTAGTAATTTCCTCAATGAATATTCATTAAGGAAGTGGAGGCATGCATGCCATGTGTTAGGCATCATGATATAAAATTGTGGTTCCCCAATTTGAATATTCATAACATGGAGAAATTACAATCTACATAAATCTGAGTCCATAGGTCTGATATAATACCATTAAAAAGAACACCAATAGTCATTGCAATCCAGATGGCTTCTGGACTGTATTTTGAGAAATACCAATGTACAATACGCTAACAGTCTCTTGTCAATTACTAAATTCATATTTAAGAATAAACATGTTTCAGCTTTATGATGCAAATTAGGATAGCTTCAAATTCATCAAAAGTTAAAACCACACTTATTTTCTATGAAAAACTTGGGGGTCATTCACCTGAAAACACTTCAGGAAAAGAAAAATCCTAACATTATTCCCATTTCCCCATGTAACTTTCCTGAAAAGACCATGGGAATCTATAACAAATAGCAAACATAGACTTCCAGCAAAGGGAGAAGGGTTCCACCCATCATAATCTAGGGAAAGATTGAAATTATATGTTGTTATTACCTGTGGGTGCTACTCACAGAAAATACAAAAACTACTCAATATAAAGTTCAAAATATTGGACAATTTATTTCAGTAATTACTTCATATTTCTCTATGATACAATTTGCTCTCAAAAGAACTCTTACTTCTGTGGACAAGTTTAAAGATCAAGATAGAAATTATATATATATATATATATATGACAGAGTTCTGCGTCCAGATTTTCATGGTTATGTTTTAAGTTCTTTTGTTCCTTTAAAACTGTTTTTACTCTTTTTTTTTCTTTACTTAAAAATATTCTTTCCCTCTCAAAAGTCCCCCTGAAATTCTGGTAACATGAAATATGGTCAAGTGATTTAATATACCATTCACTTTCACTATAAATGACCACAGGAATAGGATATATTATGAGCCAGAACCCATCCAACACTCAAAGCTGACAATTGAGTAAAAGGCTGTTTGTTTACTGAGAGAAGATTGCTAGTGGGATACTGTCAGACGTGAAATATCCAAAGGCTGGGATTTGAAGCATACCATATATGAATCTCAGTACAATCTATTTTGTCTTATAAATATATCTATCATTGTAACCTATATTTACTTACAAAGCAAAAAATGGAGAGACATTTCACATATAAGTAAATCTAGTATAAATTAATATGTGTCAC